CGGCTTCGGAACGAGATGATCTTTAAGGTCCCTTCCAACCCAAAACATCCTGTGATTCTAAGATATCCATGTCCCTGCAGCACCCAGACGACAGCAGAAAAGGAGAAGAAACATCCCACTCTTCTCCCCTGCCTTGCACGAGCACAGTGCCCACCGCAGTGATCCCACCCAGCTCGGCTGATGGGCTCCCACGTCTCAAACCCAGATCCTCCAGCAGCCACAAGGCACCACCAGCAGCTCCTCCAGCCACGGCCAGGCCACTTTTCCCTTTCCACCACGGCCGGCTCAAAGCCCGGAGCCAACACTCAGAGCACTTTCTCCTTCCCGGGAGGAGCAGGGATCGCATTCCCGGGCAGGGATCCCGAGGGCAGCGCCAGGCTGAGCCACCGCCCCGCGCGTGACCGGGCGGTCCGGGAGCAGCATCCCCGTGGGAAGGAGGGTGGGAAGGAGGGAGGGAAGGAAGGAGGGAGCCGGGCTTGGTGAGTCAACACTGCAGAGCTGCTGCGAGAGGAGAGGGAGGCAGAGCCAGGCCGGCCGGGAAGGACGGATTTGCTGAGCCCGCGACAAAAATGGTTTTGAGTAATTATCGACGGTAAGGAAACCTCTGGTTTGAGGCGAGGGAGCTCGGAGGGGTTCCCGCAGGGCAAACACTCCGCGTGTTTTATGGCTTTGGCTCGTGGGGGGAGAAAGGCTGGAGTAGCTGGAAACACAGCCAGGGCTCCAGACACACTAACAACTCCCTTTTAGCCTGTTAAACCCAGTCCCTCCATTCCCTCTGCTGCTTTTGGCCATCACCTGCCGCGGGTCCCGCAAGCCCCGCCACGATCCCCTCCTATGCGGACCTCCAGCTCAGCGAGAGGTCCCGCTCTGGGCTCGCTGGGGAGGGCGTTTTGGGGTTGTTTCAGGTTCCTGCAGTGAGCAGGGGTCTCCCCTTTCCCCCCAGCCTGCCGCTATGTGGCCAGGAAGATGAGGACCCTGTGGAGCCGGGAGCACCGGGAGCCCCGCGGCCACCGACAGAGTGAGTCCGGACCCCGGGGGGACAGGGACATCCACACACCCGGGACGGAGGGGCCAGGGCTCCCCGGGGCTCCCAGGGCACCCCCACACCTCCCTGCCCCCTCCCTCCGTGTGCTCCGGTGACCAGAGTCTTCCTCAGAGCCCGGCTCTTGAGCTGAGGAGGAACAGGTGGAAGTTACAAAAGTTTCTTTCCTTCCCCGCTTTGTTTTTCCTGGCTGGGTTTTGTTGTTAAACGTCCTGGCTCCATCCCGGCCCCTTGGCAGAGGGGATGAGCAAATAACAGCCTTTGGAAGGGGGACAAACACACTCGGGGAGGAGGGGGGGGAACCAGAGGGGCAAGAGGATGGCACCATCTCCCCCAGGGCTGTGTGTCCCTGGGACAGTCTTTGTGGCACCATCTCCCCCAGGGCTGTGTGTCCTTGGGACAGTCTTTGTTGTTTCATGCACCTTGCTAAACACCAAAATACATCTCCACACCCCCACAGGCAGCAAGAGATCCCTGGCCTTGCTTCCCAGTCTTCCCCAGCCCCTTCCTGGCTCGTTTGAACCACACTTTGTAGATCACTCATGCAAAGCCCCCAGAGCAGCTGGTCCCAATTTGGCACAGAGGATACAGCAAGGGCCATCCTGGCTCCTCACCCATCCCAGTCAAGGCAAGGAAGGTTCACCCAGAGCTGCTCCTACATCACCTTGCTCAGGTGTTCAACCTCACTGTCAAAGTAAACTCAGTTCTGAACAGCAGACAGAGGAATCTCAGCACAGGAGAGATCTGCCCTGCAAATACCAGTTGTACTGGTTTGGCTGAGTCACTCCTGGTTGCTCCTGTGCAAACATACCCAGAGCTGCACCCAGGCAGGGGCACATTCCCAGGCAGCTGCCACAGTGGTCAGCTCATGCCTGGGATCTCCTGCCTCTGCCAGGAGCTGTCACTGGAGACTCCAGGGACGATGTAGGGCTGAGCCATTCCCTTCCTGCTGCTCCCACGTGCTGTGGGGAGGGGAAGGAAAGCAAACTGTGTGCCCAGGGATTCCTATAAAGTCTCCAGAAGCTCACCTGTTCCCTAAAATAGCAGCTAGATCTTTAATGGGGAAGGGAAAGGGAGTGTCTCCCTTCACTAATGCCTTAATTAAGTGCATATGAAGAAAAAACAGGGTATTTGTTGATCACCCTGCAGTGGGAGTCAGGATTTAGCAGAGGCTCCAGCTGGGAAGCTCAGGGCAGGCACTTGGGTGTATCAGTGAGGGAAATCAAACTCCTCCTGTGAGCAAAGAGGTTCAGCTCCTCACTGCAGCTAATTGCTGGGTGTTTAATTGCAGTCAGGGGAGATGCCAGGCTGGCACGAGCAGAGGGTCTGGCCCTGTGTGGGTTGGGCACAGCAGCCCCTCAGATCTGTGGCTGCAGGAGCTGTGCCAGGGCAATGGGGGGGCTGCACATCCCTCTATCCCACAGCATTCCCCAGCCAGGAGCTCTGTGGTGCCCCAGGGAGAGCTGGCCCAGCACAGGGTGCCAGGAGCACGTGGCTCAGCAGAGGAATGGGCTGGCTGGGAAATGTGGATGATCCAGAGGCACTGGTGGGGTCACAGCTTGGAATCTGTGGCTTTTTATCCCCTCCTTGCAGCAAGGTGGGCTCTCCATGTCACAAACCCGGCCTGACTCCTCACACCTACTGCTATTTATGGTTTTTGGAGCACCTTCCCTGTTCACATCCCAGCCTTGTCCCCTCAAATCCTTTCCCTTTCCCCTTGGCTAATCCCAAATCCCCCTCTTTTCTCCTTTTGTTGTGCATTTGCAGATGTAAAGGCAGAGGTATCAGCACCCCCTGAAGCAACAGCCTCCCTTCCCAGGAACATCAAACCCATCCAGTGCAGGTCCTGACAGTAAAAGCCGTCAAAGTCCTCCCATGAAGGCCACAAGATTTCTTCCCACTGATTTCTCCAGGGAATCCATTTGCTGGGAATCTTGCAGCACAGGGATTGGAAAATATCAGCAAATCCCTCCTGTATCTGCTCTCAACACAGAAGCACAACGATAGAAAACACCCTAATTGGTCTCCTGTTACCAGAATTTTCTAGCTGGCAGACAAAAAAAGAAGATTCCCAATATGTATCAGGTGCTCCTGGCACATCTGGGCCATGGAATACCAGGAGAAGAGCTCGAGCCATTGCATCCTAGCAGCAAATTGGAATTTCATCCTGTGAAACCAAACTGTGCTCCTGATGATACTGGTATAAAATCAGACAGTTTCCGTGAAGGTCAAATCAGTCCCTGAGCTGGAGTGAGGAGTCTGGGAGCTCAGGGCTGTGGAAATCCCAGGATGTTTTGTATGACCCCTTCCCCCATGCCCAGCCTGAACAGACAACCAGCTCCCCCAGAGCAGAGGCTGCAGGAGCACAGCAGGACCCCCCCAGCCCCTGCAGTGTCACAGAGCAGTGACAGCAGAATCACAAACCCCACACTCGAGGGGGAGACTCTGCCCGACCCCCTCCTGTGACAGCTGAGCCAGAAGTAAAGTTGGATCAAAAGCAGCTGGTTGGGAGAGTGGTGGGTTCTGTCCTGGAACGGGTTTGCTGTCGTTTGTGGTGCTGGGACTCGATGCTGAGGGTCCTCTGGCTGCTCATGTAGGCAGAGGTGGCTCTTGCCTCGCTATTGCTTGTGATAGAAATAAGAAGAGAGGGAGCAGAGTCATCCTGCACCCCTGGGAGGAGCTGAGTGAGAGCTCCCAAAGCTCCAGGGCTCAGCCTCGTGCTGCCCTCAGCGATGGTTTGGCCTTTGCTGGTACAATTTGGTGGCAGGAGGGGATGTACACAAATTACTGACCTTGATTTCAAACCCCTCCTGGCTTTGTGTGGGCCATGCTGGGCTTTGTGAAGGTGGGAGAGGCACAAACCCTGCCCTGGGGGTTGTGGGGCTCTGCAGGGGATGGGGGGGAAGGAGGGAAGGCAGGCTGGAAGGTGGAGAACAGCCACAGCAAGGCTGGAAAATGCACACCTTGGGCTCTTTATTCTGACATTGCCACTCCCTGGGACAGGTGTCACCACCAAACTGGGGGTTAGGTGGTCACAGCAGTGCAAGGATAAAATGGAATGTCATGGAAGGGCCTGGCTGTGGGACAGGAGGACACCAGCACCACCTGAGCACACAACCCACAGTGCTTTCTTTGCCATTCCCTCATGGATCCCATGGACACACTGCTCCTGCTCTCCACTGGCTCCTCTCACGTGTTGTGTGTAAATGGAGAGCGTGGAGAGAGGAGGAAAGGAAAAACAAAGGAAATCAGCCTGCAAATGGAGCAGAAAAGGGAGCCTGAAAAGAGCAGTGCCCCAGGATGCCCTACCCAGTGCCCTCTCCAAGGTTTGATCCCAAGGATCACCCAGGGCTCTGGTGGTCTGCTGGAAGGTGTCCCTGCCCGTGGCAGGGGGTTGGAATGAGCTGAGCTTTAAGGTCCCTTCCAACCCAAACCATTCTGTGTTTCTATGAGATGTGACTCTGGAAGATGGGCCTGTGCAGAGCCAGGAGTTGGACTCGATGATCCCTGTGGGTCCCTTCCAGCTCTGTGATTCCTGATTCCATGATTCCATGCCCATCACCTCCTTCCCAGGGGAGGCAGCAGAAGCAGCAGGTACTGAGCACTGTCCCCAGCTTGCTCCTGAGTGGAAGGTGTGCTGAGCCATCAGCTGGGACAGTGCCCACATGTCACAGGGCAGAGACACTGTCCCTGAAAACTGTGTGACACAAACACAGCCCAGAGCAAGCAGCACATCTCCAACACCTCCAGGCAGCATTTCCCTGTCTTCCTTGTACTGGAAACCCCCACATGCTTCATTCCAAAGGCACCTGTGGGTGTTCCCTGTGACTCTCTGAGCCCCCAGGTAAGAGCAGTGAGAAATGTCCCACAGGAGCTCCAGCCTGTCCCTGGGTTGTTGTGACCCCTGGGGCAGCTCCTTCCCCCTGAGCCAGGGGCAGGCAGGTCTCCAAGGCTTTTCTGTGAGTGTCTTGCATGTTTTATTGGAGTCCTACTTCCACATGTCCATCTGGGTAAATCCAGGAGGAGGGATCACAGCCCCACTGGTGTGGAGGGACAGCTTTTATTTTGGTGTTTTCCAGCCCCCTCTGGGGGTCACCTGCCCCTGAAGCAGCTCTGGTGTGAGTCGAGCATGGTGGTCTGGATGAACTGGCACAGACAGGGCACGGTGCTGTGCTCCAGGTGTCCCCCTGCCACGGCCCCAGGGAGCTGCCCCGTGACCAGGAGCCGGACGTAGAACCCGCTGAAGATCACCAGGAGCTGCTGGGCCATGGCCTGGAACGAGCAAAGAGGTGTCAGGGCAGAGCATCTGGGCAGAGAGAGTGGTATTAAACACCATTTGTTCCCTCTGAGAGGAGCAGGACAGCAGCCAATGGCACATATAACTGTCCCAGATCCCCTTCTGGTCAGCACTGTCCCCACAGGGGAGGGACAGAAAATGACCCATGGGTGGCCTGGGAGCCTGGGGACCTGCCCACTCTGTCACTGTCTCCTCTGGCTTTCTTTTTTTTTTGGCCTCTAGACAGCCAGAGAGCCTCAATCTGCAGGGATGGCACCTGCACAGAATTCACTTAGTAACAGCGAGAGGAAAACTGGAAAATAAATCAAAATCATCCCTTTTGAAGCTCCTTGCTGAGCAGGAATGAGGACACATTTGTTGCTCAGCGTGGCACAAGTCTTTGAAGGCACTTTCTGTGGAGGGAACAGAGGCTGGGCACATCCATAACTCATCCCCAGCCTGGACAGGGGCACCAGGTCCCTGCACAGACCCTGGGCAGAGTTTGTCTTCCAAACTGGGACCCCTTGGCCACCAGGAAGGAAAAGCCCAAGCCATGAATTCCTCAAGGATTAAGCATTGGCTGACTGAACTGCTCAGCAGCAGCAGGGCTGGAGAAGGTGTGTGTGGAATTCCAGGTGCTTGTGGTGGTGAAAAAGGAGGAGTCTCCCATGGCTGGTGGGTGCTGGGATGAGTTTTGGAGCTGAGCTGCCTGGGGAGCTGATTTGGTGCCTCGGGCTGTCAGGGAGGGATGTTTCTCCTTACCTCTGGTGGGCCCTCAGGGACGAGGCAGAGCAGCTCATTGCATGTCACAGGCTTTTTATTCAGGTTCTCCCCAGTGGATAAAAGAGGGGACTCTTCACGTGGAGCCTCCTCATCCTCTGTCCCCAGGTCGGGCTGAACTGCTGCCTCCAGGACCACACAGAGCTTGTCCAGCCTGTGCCTCAATCCTGCCTGGAAGAGAAAGATTTCGGGTTCTCCAAAGGCAGTGGCTGAGAACAGCCTTTAAAGGGCTTAAAGAATTTCTTCCTGCATGTTTTTCACTCCTGGGATTGACCATCCCAAGCACTTGGAGGTGGGTGTCCATCCCACAACCAGGAGCTCTTGTGGCAGTGACTGTTCCCAGCACGATGGTCACGGCCTGACAGGGGGAGCCTTGTCTTTAAAATCTGAGTTTTTAAAGATCTGAGTCTTTAAAATCTGAGGTTTTAAATGTAAGTCTATAAAATCCCCTGTGTGTGGATTTGGGGGGGGTCACTGTCAATCCCCCCAGGCTGCAGCTGTTGGTTCAGCAGGGGGATGAGCAACCTGGAGGTTTTGGGAGGGTTGTACCCCCTCACCTCTCATCCCACAGCCACCAAGGGCAGTTCAGGGGATGTTTATACACCCACAGAGAGACAAATATTCCCTTTGAGGCCAAGAGGACAACATTTTTATCCAATTAACCCAGTACAGCATTTCCTTCTCCCTCAGGCCATCCCATTTATTCCAGGAGGACAGCTCAAGGTGTCAGCTCGTTCAGGCTGGGACGCGTGCTTCCAAAATTGGCCTCTCTTTGGTTCCTGATGACTTTCCTTCATTAAAGTTGTGCAGTTAATTACCCAGACACCCACATAGCAAATCAAAACAAGTTCCTGCTGAACTGGGCACCAGCAGGTGCAGCTGATCCACCTCCCAGTGTGCCCAGTTCCCAGCAGGAGAAGCTCAGGAGGGCACTCAAACACTCAGTTGTCCTTGCTGTGTTGGGCTGAAATGTTGGTAATCTCTTAAATATTGTCAAAATCA